AACACTGATTTATTAAATGACCAGTTCATGTATCTGATAATATAGAACTTTCTGTAATTGAAAACATCTCAAACCAGGCTTTGACTTCACTTATTTTATCACAGAAAATGGGCTTCCCCTCCCCCCTTATTTGATTTCTATACGTTGCTACAGAAAAAAGAGCATATTGGCTTGAACCTGCCTATTTCATGACTTGGAAAAAAATGCTCATTACTAGCTAAAGTCAGTCATTCATCAGTAGGAACACTTAATTTTTTTTCTGTTGTAGAAACTGCTGAAAATATAGGATTTGCCTGTGAACTTCTGACTGAAGACACCACTGTCTGCTATGGGGAAGATATAAAGTAAGTAAAGGCGAAAGTAGAGCCAGTAGACATGGCAGATGCAGAGAAATGGGAGCTTAGACTGTCCCCTCAAACAGTTTTCCGCACATTTAAATGAAGCAAGAGACCCCACGTAGTTCCAAGTTATCATGGTTTGACCTTATTTTGAGCAGATTTTAGTGTTACAGGAGCTTGGGGCCTTTATTTACTCTTTCAGGGGCCATTTCTATTCCTTGGGGAGTTCTCAGTGCTTGCCTGCTGACAAAAAAAAAAAAGTGAGATCAAGACGTCACTAGCCAATTAATCTGAATTCTCTCCGTGAGCTGCCTTTTCTAAGAATTATAATTTTGGAAGAAATATAGAAGGAAAGAACCCCACAGTTTTGCTTGGAAGGAGACATTTGGGTGGGATGCACCTCTAGACTTGTCTGGGTGGGGCAGGATATTTCAAAGCATAGCTTCTCCTGAAATACTCGAGAGCCCCGAGTCACAGCAGACCTGGAAATGTGTAAGGAAGAGCCTTGTCCTATTAAAAAGCTGGGAGTGTTTTGCACAAGCTCTTGGGCTGTGCTATCTTGACAGTTTTATTTATTCCTCAAGTCTTCTCCTTACGACACCTCCCCCAGGCTGTCAAAAGGGCAGAAGCTGTGAACATACACACTTGCTTAGTCTGGCAAGATGATGAGGGGGTTACGCTTGAGCTTAGCCAGAAGGCCGAGAAGTGATAAGATGATGAGGGAGTTGATGGTTGTTGATAGTCTTCTAATGATGGTGACAGAACTTTTGCAAATTGTTCCAGTATATTAGGCATTCGGCTAAATTAGACAAAATCAGTAGCTCTAACATCTAAATCAGTTCTGTTTGACTGCATAAACCGTGTCTCTCTGTGCTTTTAGCTTTTAAAAAATAGCGATAGACAAATAAATACTAATATGTTTACTTAAGTAGTTTCTTGGTTTCAAGTGATTTGGCTAATTGCCAGATGGTCTTACTTCTTATAGATGGGGGCCCTAATAGAGTTCTGGTCTCTCTCTAAACTGTTGAAAATTGGGCCCTGAGCTAAATTAGAAGGTAAAATTTATGCACGTAGCAAATTTTATGATCATGCTCTTAGCTAGGTTTACCTTTCCAGAGGGCTGAATTCATCTGTCTTTGTAGATGGATGATTCCTATAGCATGGTTTGAATGGATAACTTCGTATTTTTTCTCTTCCAGTGATTTGTCTTGATCACTCCTTAATTTCAACTTGAAAATGAGCAATTAATGTAGAAAAAAAAGTAATAGATACCTAATCCTCTAGTGCACTGGCTCTCAACTGGGGGTGATTTTGCCTTCCAGGGAACATTTGGCAACGTCTGCAGACAGCTTTAGTTGTCGTAATAGGGGAGGCGGGGTACTGGTGGCTTCTAGCATCTAGAGATGCTAGACATCCTACAACACAACGGACAGCCACACACAACAAAGAAGTGCCTGGCCCCAAGACAGCGGTAGTGCTAAGGTGGAGAACAGTGGCAGTGTGTGTCACAAGGAAAGCTCTGGACTGAGAATAAGGAGACCTGAGTTTTCATTGCCATTTGCCTATCAGTTTGGTCCAGGTCAATCACCTCATCTCCCTTGGACTAGATTTCCTCCTTTGTAACATGAAGAGTTTGGATGAGATCTTTATGGACCCTTCCACTCCAAAATCCCATAACTCATTTTTCTATCACATGAATGCATTATATGCGGTCTTCTCAATTATTGGCTTATATAAAGCGCTGAGAAATTCTCAAAAGCGAACATAACTTTTTGTGGGAGTAAGCTTCTTTTTGCCAAATAGTAGCCACTGTTTGTAATACACCAGGGGTTCCCTCCAGGTATCAAAATTCAGATAAAGATTGCCTTCCTTCTGTTGCTCGTGAGCACATTTTCAACTATATCTTCTTTTAGCTGTCTTTGGCAAATAATGGTGCCCCATGGGGGAGGAATTAAGACTTAATGAGATTATGTCATCTGATTTAAAAATGGGCAAAGGACTTGAATAGACTTTTCTCCAAAGAGGATATACCAATGGCCAACAAACATATGAAATGATGCTCAACATCACTAAACATTAGGGAGATGTAAATTAAAGCCAGAATAAGATATCACCTCATACCCTTTCAGGATGGCTCCTATCAAAACAACAACGACGACAACAAAACCTAAAAACAAAACAAATCAAAAAACAAAGTAACAAGTGTGGGCAAGCATGTGAAAACTGGAACCCTTGTGCACTGTTGGTAGGAAATAAAATGGTGCAGCTACTATGGAAAACAGTATGGTGGTTCCTCAAAAAAATTAAAAATAGAATTACCATATGATCTAGCAATCCCACTTGTAGATATATATCCCAAAAAATTGAAAGCCAGAACTCAGAGATTTTCACACCCATGTCCATAGCAGCACTATTTACAGTAGCCAAGAAGTGGAAGCAATCCAAATGTCCACTGATGGAGGGATGAATGAATAAACAAAATGTAGTATAGCCATACAATGGAAATATTATTGAAGAGGAAGGAAATTCTGACATGAACTACAATAGGAATGAACCTTGAGGACAGTGAAATAGGCCAATCACAAAAAAACTAATACTCTGTGATTCCACCTACAGGAGTTATCTAGAGTGGTCAAATTCATAGATACAAAAAATAAAGTAGTAGTGACCAGGGACCAGGGGAAGGGGGAAACGGGGAGTTATTTAATTGGCATAGAGTTTCAGTTTTGAAAGATGAAAATGTTCCGGAGATTGGTTACAAAGCAGTGTGAATATACTTAATACTACTGAACTGTACACTTAGTTAAGATGATAAATTTTATGTGTTTTTTAACTACAATTAAAAAAGATTATATATCAAAAATACCTCACAGTCAAGGGCCTGTTTATAGTCTTTTACTCTTAAACACTTAAATTTCTTTTCCCCCAGTGCTCTTCTTCACACAAGGATGGAAAACCAGAGGAATAGAGGTGGAGTCTATGCAAAATTTGTACCCCCGGTGCATGAAACTTTTTTTCCACCTGGTGAAAACCGTGCCTTAATAATCACTGGTTCTTGGTTGGTGCGTATCATTACTGTGTGCCTTTGGCTTAAACTAAAGCAGTTCATTGTGGAATGATTTTAGATGGTTTCCCATATTAACTGTCAACCTAAAAATCTTTTAGCCTACAAATGAATGGACAATTTCCCAAGTTTGAGACTTAATGTGATCTATGAAAGGAATTATATCAGACTGGTAATATCCCTGGTTTAACAATCAATAGACAATTTTAATTTTCTTCTTTGTACTTTTTTTTTTTTTAAGATTTTATTTATTTATTGGACAGAGACACACAGCGAGAGAGGAAACACAAGCAGGGGGAGTGGGAGAGGGAGAAGCAGGCTTCCTGCTGAGCAGGGAGCCTGATGCGGGGCTCGATCCCAGGACCCTGGGATCATGACCTGAGCCGAAGGCAGACGTTTAACGACTGAGCCACCCAGGCGCCCTTCTTTGTACATTTTTATAGTAAATAGGTTTTATAATCGGAACACTATCATCCATGATATAACCCAAGAACCATCCCTCACCTGGCTAAGGTCTGGGGAATGGTACTCTTGATATAAAAACTAAAATGGCTGTAATCCTCTGATTTCACAGAATGAAATTCTTCTGGAGAAAAAGACTAAGAGAAGTAAGATTCTGAAGCTGAAGTTCCCAAGGACAGAAGAAGAACGACGCATGCGGACGCAGAGTAAGAGGTGTCTGGAAGCTCGGAAAGAGCAGCGACAGAAGAACTTTGTAGACCTGGCCTGTGAGTGCAGTGCAGTCATCTGCTGCCGGGTCACCCCCAAGCAGAAGGCAATGGTGGTGGACCTGGTGAAGAGGTACAAGAAGGCCATCACGCTGGCGATCGGAGATGGGGCCAATGATGTAAACATGATCAAAAGTGAGTCTCACCCATAGCCAATGCCACCAGAATTGCCAGAGAAGGGATGTTTTGTGGGGTAGTCTTTCCAAATGTCATTGCTTAGGCTTTCATAAAGCTTTCTCATCTGAAAACAAGAATATTATCTTTGATGTCACCTCCAGTTTTGTGATATTATTAAGATAAACCATTTGTTACATGACCACACATGTCCTGTTATGCTGGGTACCTTAACTGCATAATGTATAACTAGACTTAATGCAGCCTAGTTTGTAATTCGTGTCTTTTTCTTTTCTTAGAGTCTCTTCCTCCTCCTCCTTGATCTATACTAAGAATATTCCAACTTTATCTTCCTCAGCAGGAGTCAGCTATATTACGTATGTCTTCTTGCTTCTTTATCATGTGTATGTCTGTGACCACTGCCAGTTTAATTCCTCTCCAGTGTGTTCTGCATGTGTTCGCCCTACCACAGGACTGGCATTTCTTGCTCCAAATGATACCAATTTCTTTCCCCTACAGCCAGTTCTAGTTCATTTGCCACTGTGTACCCTCAACATAAATGGCTGTGCCAAAAAGGCGAGTAACTCAAACATTTTTATAAAGCTACAGTGCAGACTTCCAGATGTTGGCGAGAGGGAGGTTACCTTGCAGATGTGCCATTTGACTATGTGACTTAGACTTGGAAATTTTTTTGTTCCTCTGAGCTTACCAATAATAGATAATAAAAGGGATCACAAAAATTCAACATAAGTAACCTTGTATGTCCTAAGAATTTTATTAAGTTCTGTTATATGGCAGATACTTTTATATATAATAGGGAGCATCCATTTGGGATGAAAATCAAAGAAACTCAGGTCTCCGTGGAAGTCAGCAGCTTTATCCAAGTATTGATAGTACCTTTTTGTACTTTAGAAAAACTGGCATCACTTTCATTTGCATAAAAAACAATATGCAGAAATTATGTTTGTTTATAAAGAAGTACAGTGAAATTTCAGTGTCCAAAAATCTGGCCATTTGTTAGCATGTTCCACGTTGAGTGATGGAGGCCAGGAGAAGTGGAGGGAGTTGCAACCCTAGCAAGGACCCAAGGGCTCTCACGGGCTGCCTGCCCTCTCTCCCTCTCTCGGGCCTGAAGGTGTCTGCTGGCTGGTGGGTGTTTTTCGTTGGCCTAACACCCTCAGAACGAACAAGCAGCATGAGAGGGGAGACAGGCAGAAAAGCACGAGGACATGATGGGTTTGTTAAGCAACCCTGAAGGAGCCTACCAGTGAGCCACCTGAAACCACATTTTTGAAGCTTCAGGAAAATCCAGGTGTCTCTATTTAGATTATGGGGGGAAAAAAGTGTGGCCTTATAAAGGACATCTCTTCCGTTGCTTCGAATCCCCTGTGAGCTGTAGCTGTGTTCATTTCACATACTGTCCTTGGGGTGCTCGGCAGAAACGTTGGGCTGGACATCAGGGCTTGTGGCAGGGGTTCTTCCTTCTTGGCTCCACGAGAATCTCCACATTTCCCTTTGTTGCTTGTTCAGGAAAGAAGGCCACGGTTTGGTAGGAAAGAGCAGTTTGGCAACCATGACTAGTCATAAGAATTATTTATGTGTTTTGAAAGAAATCGTAAATATTGACTGAGGCATGCAATTTATTCTATTTTTTAGAATTGCAAAGTGTTGCTGAAAACATAGGTTTGGCCAAGTCACTATGTCGCTTTGAATTTGCCAGACCTAGTATTCTGCCACTATGGCAGGATTTTGGAAGCTTCTTTTAGTTGGAAACCCTGCTGAGTTGGCAGTCATTCTCCGGGTCTAAGTAATAATACGTTGTGTTCTCCAGCACATGTTCTCTAACTGATGTCAGAACGTCTTTACTTCCATGCCTCTTAAGACCTAGATAAAATTTGTAATTCTAGAAGTTGAAACTGTGACTAAATGACTATTGGAAGGACGGATAAAATTGTGATTTTCATTTTTATCCATTCTGGAACCTTCACCGGCAAAAAAATTCTGCCTCTTAAGGTCATGGTGGGCCATGGTTAAATGCTGAAAGTTTAATATTATCTTAGTTAAAATACTTCTGATTGCAAATATTAGAGAGCTAAAGCAAGCTTAAGACAAAAAGATAATTTATTTTAAAAGATATAAAGATGGGGACACCTGGGGGGATCAGTTGGTTAAGTGTCTGCCTTTAGCTCAGGTTGTGATCCCAGGGTTCTGGGATCAAGTCCCATGTTGGGCTCCCTGCTCAGCGGGGAATCTGCTTCTCCCTCTGCCTCTCCCCTCCACTCCTGCTCTCCCAAATTAAAAAAAAAAAAAAAAAAAAAAAAGATGTTTTGTGCCTCCCAAGAAGCCACGCCTCAGGAAGATGCTAGAACCAGGACCTGGAGCTGCACCAGGACCCCAGCTTCTGGTTTCTCCCTCTTCCTAGATGACTTGACTTCTCTGCCCCTCAGAACCCCTGAGAAAAAAAATATATCTGTCCCACAACTCAAGAATGTATAGGTTAAAATTCCAAACACAAACATGCCCGAATCTTAATTCCAAAATGTGAAAGAGACACTGATTGCCCCAGCTTGGGTTTTCAGTCAGTTAGTACAAGATACAGACCCCGTTGGGTACTTTAAGCAGGAAGTGATTAATACAGGGGACTAGGTGCTCATGAAAGCTCTGGATGGGCTGAAGAAAGTAGGTGCTAGCCTGAGTCTCTAACATCTTAGTCACTCACCAGAGGAGCTTCTAGCTTTGAGACTCCTGTGAAGGGCTTTTCAGTTGAGCTTTTGTCTATCAGCATCCAGGCAGCTGGGGAGAGCATACGAACTCTGCTGAAGAAATGCCAAAAAGGGAAGGGGTGCTGGGCCCCAGTTCGCTTCTACTTCCGGAAACTTCAAGTGGCTCCTAACAATGAAACCCAATTCACCAACAGAACCTAGTGCAAGGGAGTCTGAGCAATGTAAGGTTTTTATGTGCTTTCCCACCTTTCCAGTAGAACAAGGGTGGAATGAAAGTTGGGAGGGCCAATTTGTAGTATCTGCCAATAGCAGCTGACTCAGCTGTGGCCAGGGAGGCAGGAACGCACAGTCTGCATAGACTCCTTGGATTAACCCCGTGGGCGGGAAGGATGGCCTATCAGCCGGGCAGATAATCCAAATGGAATTCACCACCCACCTGAGATCCTTCCACAAATACCTTTTGGAGGCCCCAGCATGTGCTCTTTTGAGCAACTTGTATCTCTGACATTGAGTTCAGAAGCTGGGGTGGGGCTGGTGAGAGAGAGTTTTCACATACATTGTTCCATGAATGTGTTTCTTTGTTTTGCTGTGGAAACATTTTTATCACTTAAATATTTCGCCTTAAAATTAGCTTACGATTCACATATCTTCTCCCTCTGTCCGACAGCTGCCCACATTGGTGTTGGAATAAGTGGACAAGAAGGCATGCAAGCTGTCATGTCAAGTGACTACTCCTTTGCCCAGTTCAGATACTTGCAGAGACTGTTGCTGGTACATGGCCGGTGGTCTTACATAAGGATGTGCAAGTTCCTACGATACTTCTTTTATAAAAACTTTGCATTTACTTTGGTTCATTTCTGGTACTCCTTCTTCAATGGGTACTCTGCACAGGTAAGAGAATAATAATTATTATTACCTGATGAGTAGAAGTCTTATATAAATAAAACTCTACTTCTGAGAAAAACATTTCCCCTCCATACTTGCAGTTTTGATGCTCTATCTCTTAATAGTTGCACAGATTGAGATTATAGATGACTTTTCTAAAAGGTTTCTGGTGCTTTAAAAATACTTTATTTTGCCTTTAAAAAGTTGGGATGTGTTCCTGACCTACTGGCTTTTGTTATGTGACTTTGCCTTCATCCTAGATTTTTTATCCTAAGTCACCTTGCCATTAAGAATAGTGATAACAGGGGTGCCTGGGTGGCTCAGTTGGTTAAGCGACTGCCTTCGGCTCAGGTCACGATCCTGGAGTCCCTGGATCGAGTCCCGCATCGGGCTCCCTGCTCGGCAGGGAGTCTGCTTCTCGCTCTGAACCTCCCTCCTCTCATGCTATCTCATTCTATCAAATAAATAAATAAAAATCTTTAAAAAAAAAAATAGTGATAACAAATTATTCATCGTTGAACATAAAAAATGATATTGTGACCAAGGCTAAAGGGATTATGTAAATTTTGGATGACTGATTTAGCCTGTTGGTTTTTGTTTTTGTTTGTGCTGAAATGGCAGTGGGGGACATATAGAGCATGCTGAAATGGTGATACAGCAGGAAAATATCATTAGTGAAAATGAACCTAAGTCAGTGCTTGTGGTTGTCCAAACTTCTGATGCCACTGCCACAGACAATGGTTCAGAAGAGCCTCCGAAACCGAGGGCCTGGAGCAGCCTTGAGCACAGTGAGGGCCTTCCTTCTGCTCCCGTGCAGGCCTGTGTAGAGCTGGTGCTGATGAGTGAGCCCGTCTCCTCTCGGCCACCCTGCAGACTGGTGTGTGCACAGCCCTGCTTACCCCTTTCAGAAGCACATTTTTCATATTCAAATTCTGCCTCACAGATGTTTAAATGGAAATGTGAGACTTGCAAAGTACAAGAACATTTGAATGATACCTTATGTGCTTTTTGAACCAATTTCGGTTTTATGTCTTCTAATTCATTAATAAGGGGATATAAAAAGGACCAGCACCAATGTATTTTCCAGCATTATTCAAACAGAATGGACTCCTTTTCCAAAAAAGGTTTTCGCGTATATGCTCCCATTTTTGTCAGAAGGAAGGTTTGTTTCTGTGGAATGGTCTTTGATTCTGCCCATTCCACTGAACCCAGCTCACACCTTGGGCAGATGCAGATGAGGGGTGTTTACTCTGGCAGAAGCTGCACACAGCCTGGGGCCTTCCCCCCTCCGAGAGAGATGAATGCATGTTGACTAGGCGGGCAATAGGTCTTGGTTTGTGACACGGCGACTCTGTAATCTCCTCACAGACTGCATACGAAGACTGGTTCATCACGCTCTACAACGTGCTGTACTCCAGCCTGCCCGTGCTCCTCATGGGGCTGCTTGACCAGGTAGGAGCCTCGGGCTGACGGGACACTTCAGGACGGACTGGGCACCTGTCTGAGAAGTTAAAAGCAAATATTTCAGTGCATTCTTTTGGTTTTAATTTCTTCCTGAGAAAACCCTATTACTGTCCTGTTGTTAGGCGACCACAGTAACTGCTGCACCTCCTGTATTATAGTGACAAAAGAGGATTTCTGTGCCCGGGATGAATTCATGGACAAAAGAGTTTATTATCTTCCTTTTGGACACTAAGAGTTTCTTGTTAAGACACCTGACAGTATAGTATGTCTCTATAATAATAACTTTAAAATTATTTTAATATTTCTCTAAACGTATGTGCTGAATTCCCAGATTAGTCCACATTCTATCTAGGAGCAATTCTTAAAGTGCTTTAATGAATAAAAAGAATAATTTGGAATTAACCCATCAACTCATACGTGAAAATACTTTCCAAAAAAATTAGAATATATTCCCCCAGGAGGTAGAAATAGTCTCCCTACATTTTTTTTTTTTTGACATTACTATTTGCTTTCCTTCTATGAGCAGCAAAGTAATAGATCTCTACCTAGTCCCTCTCTTAATTAAATAGCAAATAATGGTGGACTAAAGTAAAGGGATTGGTCTCTGCACACTGAAAGCATTCAGGACTTACCTTGTTGAGTTTTTGCCATCCTAAAACTAAGCTGAAACTCACTGTGAGAGATAAATTGGAATGGATCTCGGATCTCAGATCCATCTTTGATCCTGGATGGTCCACAACTAATTGTGTTTTTACCCTTAAGGATGTGAGTGACAAACTGAGCCTCCGCTTCCCTGGGTTGTACGTAGTAGGACAAAGAGACTTACTATTCAACTATAAGAAGTTCTTTGTAAGCCTGGTGCATGGAATTTTAACATCGATGATCCTCTTCTTCATACCTCTGGGAGCTTATCTGCAAACTGTGGGACAGGATGGAGAGGCACCTTCAGACTACCAATCTTTTGCTGTGACCATTGCTTCTGCTCTTATAATAACCGTCAATTTCCAGGTACATGGCTTCTGTCAACTGTTTTCAGTATCTGTCAGTTACCTGTGTTTCTGTATATAGACCAGTGTGCGCATCCACCTGGCCCCCACTCTCCCTCCCACTGAGCCTCGGCCGCTTTACAAAATATGACTGTTATCTTCACCCCTTGCACTGAGCACATTTCCTACTTCTCGCCTGAGCCAAGGATAGTTCCTGATTGTTCAGTATTCAAGCCAAATCATGCCTAAATTGTTGCATTCTATTTTCAGAATCTAGATCCTTTATTTCTTGGTAACTCCCCAAAATGAATGCTTTGTTTTTCTCTGGTTTTACAGATTGGCTTGGATACTTCTTATTGGACTTTTGTGAATGCTTTTTCAATTTTTGGAAGCATTGCACTTTATTTTGGCATAATGTTTGACTTTCATAGTGCTGGAATACATGTTCTCTTTCCATCTGCATTTCAATTTACAGGTTGGTATTTTCTAAATTCCAAAAATAAAGGTATAGAAAAATGTTACTAGTTTAGATTCTGACATAACTTCTAAGTAAAAACACAAAGTAAGTTATTGTTAATGAAAATTAATGTCCTGACTGGCACCTGAATGATGGCTGGGCTGGAAGTGTGGTAATGTAACAGGAAGAAAGCAAAATTAAAAACTTTGATAAAATTGTGCATCTGTTCAGTTAGACGGGACCCCCGCCCCCAAATCTAATATTGGTGGGTTGCTGGGAAATTGAATATGGACGTATTGCTGGTAACTTCTCACACATTTGGACCCAGGATTTCCACTTGGAGAAAATACCTAAAGATAAAACATACCAGTTTTTGGAAAAGTCAGTTTGTACAAAGATTATACCACCGCAATTCTAATTGTTTTTTAAAAATGGAAATAATTCAAAGACCTAATAAGAATACTAGCTAATCAAGGTATGAGTCCCGTATGATGAAATTTTAGAACTCAAAAGTGGAAAACTTGCCACATTGTTAGAAAAATGTATGCAGAGCAATAAGTAAACTTAGAAATTGTTTAGAAATAGTTTACAGCTGTATAAAATAGGACAAATGCTAGAATGAATTTGAACTATTTCATAGTATAAATTTTAAAATATCATTTTCTTAGTTTATTAAATAGAGTAGCTTGGATTCACAATGGGGAGAAAAGTCCCCAGAAACTAGTTTCCATGTAAAAGATTAGTTTGTTTGTTTTGTTTTGTTTTTTTTATGGCCAGTTGTAAAAAGACAGTTGCTATGGTAACCCTTGGAATTGAGTTCATTTTTTTGATGATTATTTTTACTGACTCTGTTTTAAAAAACTTAGTACCCAGTTACTTAGAATATTCCCAAAGGGACTGTTTTTATTTAGCAGTGTAAAAACACATTTAAAAAATAAAGGCCACTACTTTTATAAACTTATAGTGTAAGTACAGAGAATACTGTGATAGATTTGGCTTTAGGGGATGTTAATTATAAATATTTTAAAATTGGGTAGTTATATATGATGGTCTGGTTGTATGAATTATTATGTTCTCTGACATAAACTAACTGCCAAATACAGTGGAAAAAGTGAGGCTCTATACAGATGGATATGGGGTTTAATTCAGGAGTTGCCATGGCTAGTTCTGGTACCCTGGGAAATCTTTTTACTTCTCCACAACTCGATTTCCATGTGTGGCAAGGAGGATACTCTTCATCCCTCAGAGGTAATTAAACGGCATGACCTGTATAAAACACTTAGCATAAGGTCTGTCATACTAATGGTGGTGCGAGTTGCTACTGTTATTTGGAGTTTCCAACTAAAACTATAAATTGGAAAGTAAATTCCTGGAAAAATGTAGAAGTACAGATTGCCTAACTTTGCGTGTTTACCTAATGCAATGTCAACAAACTCTTTTTTCCTTATTTAGTTGTTCAATGATGTACATTTGCCTTCCTCATTTTGCTTTGTTTAGTCCCGTTTTAAAATGTTCATTCCTTCAGCAGTGATGGGATGTTTTGGGGAGGCCAATCTGTGAAACTTTACCATAGATAATCATTTAAGGCTTAAGGAATATTCACTCTGCCCTTAGGACGAAGGACCCCTGGGATTCATTCTCTGTGTTTTTACAGGCACAGCATCAAATGCCCTGAGGCAGCCATACATTTGGTTGACCATCATCCTGACTGTTGCAGTGTGCCTGCTGCCCGTCGTTGCCATACGGTTCTTGTCAATGACCATCTGGCCATCAGAAAGTGATAAGGTACAGAAAAAAATAGTATTCTCCTCATTCTGAGTGCCCCTCACAGAAAGCAAAGCCTGTCCCCAAAGCAGCTTTCCTGAAAAATTCTAAATCCATGGCAAGTTTGGTATGAACGTTTTTTAATACTACTTCTCTTTAACTCCATCTTGCAAATAAGTCCTGTGGGACTGGGATTTTTGTTTGTGTGCTTTTTATTTTAAACATTATCAAAGGGAGAGTAGTATAATGAACCCCATCCCCTCAATTTAACAATTATAATATTAACATTTTCCCCTGCAAAGAGTTGGGGTTTTTCTTCATTTAAGGAAAAATGCCACCTCTTTTGGCAGGATCCTCTTGAGCTACAAGTTGTTCAAATAATGTATCACTTCAGCTCGCATACTGATTAGTGGGTTTCGGTGACTGAGCAACTTAAGTCATCTAAGGTGACGGAGCACCTTAATGTCTGTCAAAAAAAGCCTAGGGTTCTTTCCATCGCTCCCCTCTGCTAACCTCATTATAGCTTCAGCTTGGAGCTGGGGGTTGGCCACTGCAGATCTAGGCATCTCCTGACACATCACTATCCAGGGGAGGCCAGGTGCTTTCCCTTAGGAGCCCGGGAACTGGGCATGGGAGGGCCCTGCCCACTTCTCGCAGGCCTCTGGAGCCAGACCAGGTCACCTGGCCGGTGCTGAGCAAGGCAAGTCCCCTGGTCCTGCTCCTGGGAGCGCTGTCCACACCTCAGGAGGGATGTGGCTATATGCATGAAAGGGGTACTTGAGTAAACTCCGTCTTCATCAGGAGGAGAGAGGATGTTGGGCAGGCAACCTTCAGCATCCCCTAGACCGCCCTTTTCCACTGACAAGAAGATGCAGGAGCAACAAGGGTTTTCCCTTGAACCTGTCCCAGTCTGACTGGTCAGTGGGAAAGAACGTGGGAATGTCGGCTCCCGTTTTCTAGTTCGGAGACCTCGGGAGTGCTCCATAACCTCTCTGGGCTGCCTCATCTTTATATAAAAGGAGGCCGGCGATGCCGCCTCCCCGGGGACAGCCTGGACTAGGTCCCCCGTCCGTGTGAGCGCCCGCCCAGCTCCCCTCCGCCCTCACACACCTGCGAGGTCCTCTCTCCGGTTCTGCAGATTCAGAAGCACCGCAAGCGGTTGAAAGCCGAGGAGCAGTGGAAGCGGCGGCAGCGCGTGTTCCGCCGGGGCATGTCTTCGCGGCGCTCGGCCTACGCCTTCTCGCACCAGCGCGGCTACGCGGACCTCATCTCCTCCGGGCGCAGCATCCGGAAGAAGCGCTCTCCCCTGGACGCCGTCATAGCCGACGGCACCGCCGAATACCGGCGCACCGTGGCCAGCTGACGCACCTGCCGCGACAGTCACACGCGTACAGAGGTCTATTTTTTTACGAAAGGCTCTCAGGAAAAACTGAATTTGTCACGAGGATGCTGAAGACCACAACCTTCATCACAAGCTCCTTGGGCTGCTGGACTACTGCAGTAGCGAAGAATACCTTCCCGAAAGTCCTATTACTCAACTGCTCGTGTTCATCAGGATCCAAAGGGAACGTGTTAATCCAGTCTCCATCTAGGACAACAGAATTAGGAAATGTCTTATATTTCAATTCAAAGGGTACTCATTATAAAATCACATTTAGATCATCCTGTCTGGGATCTTCAACACGAATTTTCCAGAGGTTGCTTTCTTCCCCGTAGGCTAACTTTTTAACAAAGATCTTGTATTTATAATGGCAAGGACAAAAAAATTCATGGATGTTCATCACCTGGAAGCAAAGTGGTCCAAAGGCTTTTTCCAGAGTTGATAATGAGCTGCGTGGTTTTCTCTTCTCCTTATATTGGTTTAATAGTTCAAGGAAAATCACTTCACATTTCATAAGTACAGGCCTTCCATCTGCTTAGTTTACTGCAGGTTAAAAGTGTGCATCATGTACGTTTACTCTTACTTTGCATATTATTTTAGCCACTTCCTTCCCTACTTTCATTTTTAAAAGATGTGTTTAAATATTTATGGGCTTTAAAAAAGAAAAGTTCTTAAAAACTAAGGACATCAGTGATAAATTGTGATTTTTTGGTAAAGCTTTCTTCTGAAAAGCAAACACTATGCCTGCCTATATGTATGTTATAAGAGACCTGAACAGAGGCCTCACATTTTCACTTGCCTTATGTCTACAGAGAAAAGGCTGTTGGCAGCCACATTTCTAAGACTAACAGCGTATCCTTCAAAAATGGAAACTATCCTCAAAGAGGCAAGAGTTATTTTTCTAGAGGCTTTTCTCGTTCTGTGTTTTTCACACTCTAGTTTTCATGTTCTAGTGAAGATACAGAAGTGTTTTCAATAATTCTGTTCTTTACCATTAGGCTGTGAATGTTCACAATATCTGTCCCTTTGAATTTCCTGTAAGAAAATCACATGTATATAGTTCATATTCTAGGTGTGATAAAAGAATGTATGGCTCTTTATCCTATGGAAGTAAATTTCTGGAAGTTTACAACTTTATCTTGTAAATAAAAAAACCCTAAATTGTTTTCTTTTTTTTGGTAAAGCAAAGTTTGCTTGTATAATTCTCAGTTTTCTCTCCTGTTTTTATAAATTGTGGGAAAGGTCGACAATGCAAATGTGTCAAAGACTTATACTGTTGGGTGCAATATTAACAATTTTAAAATGCAAATTGCTTTGGATAAATTATTTCTATATTCTGTAAATCTGAGATTTAATGTATATTTTTGTTTAAAAAATAAATGCTTTAGTAAAATCTTTGGAAAGTATCTTCTAAGTAGGGTATATGACAGAAGAAGCTAAGGCCTGCAAGGTTTCTAAAGGAACACAGGGGTCCTCTTGTGGTGAGAAATAAAAGTTGGGGGCAGGGTACTAAGTATTAGGGGAGAAGTGAGTGAGAAAAGGCCATTAGACTTTAAAAGTCCTGGACAGTATGTGAAGCTGTGACCCCCACTAAGGAAATGGGACTATGCCACAGACTTTTTTTTAGAGAGAGCATGGGTGTAAGTTGCAGATTCAGCGCAGAGCCTGATGGAGGGCTCTATCACAGGACCCTGACATCATGACCTGAGCTGAAATCAAGAGTATGATGCCTAACCGACGGAGCCACCCAGGTGCCCCAGAACTATGCCACAGAGATGGAGGTTCTCTGTAGGACATCAGTGGGGGACTTGTTTAGGAGGCACAACTGCCAGCAGATGAGAGAGTATCAGCCTGGTGGTGCTTTCTAAGGTGGGAAATTAGGACCCCCCTCTTCGCTATTCCACAATTGACAGTTGGCTTGTGGAGCAGAACTTCATGTCTATGTCAGAGCAATCCTTTGGAAATGAGGTGAAAGGACACGGGATAGATTAGACTCTTCAAGAGAAATTGTAGGAGAAGAAGTTCTGAGCAGACCTGGGATATGGTCCCTTAAGAGGGGGGGCACTTTCCCCCCCAGGATGTCCTACTGTATTTAAATTGGTTGAGGAATATATGTTTTTAATCAAAGAGCACCACCTAAAGGTTCTTACGGGACTCCAATGTGATAGCAAAACCAAAACACCCCAATGTACTCTATTTTAGCAGTTGTTGCCTTCATGTGATGTGAATGAAACTTGGGAAAATTGTAAGACAGCTTCGAAGAGTCCCGTCAGAATCTGCTAGAAAGTTATGGCTACAATAAAACTTCTGGTGCATTTATAATTACAAAAAGGCCCGTCAGAAAACACTGTAAAAATGATTTCTTGACTTACACTGACATTTCTTCGAAGATCTATAAGTGCCAAAAAGTATATAAAACGTCCTTGCTGTGTCGCTCTCTGTCAAATAAATACATTAAAAAAAAAAAATCCTTAACAACGTTAGTCATCAGGGAAATGCAAATCAAAACCACAATGAGATACCACTTCACACCCACCAGGATGACTATAAATAAAAAAGGAAGGGCACCTGGCTGGCTCAGTCAGTAGAGCGTAGGACTCTTGATCTCAGGATTTTGAGTTCAAGCCCCATATTGAGCCTAGAGCCTACTTTAAAAAGGGGGGTGGGGTGGGGCAATAAGTGTTAGCAAGGACCCTGTGGAGAAACTGGAACCCTCATCCACTGCTGGTGGGAATGTAAAATGCTGCACCCACTGCTGAAACAGTTTGGCAGTTCCTCTAGAAGTTAAACAGAATTACCATATAAACAGCAATTCTCTGAAGTGAATACATATATACACTGCAAAACCTTGAAAACAGGTACTCAAATACTTGTACATGAATGTTCACAACAGCCAAAAGGCAGAAACAACCTAAATGTCCGTCCACAGCTGAGTGGATACACAAAATGGGGGATATCCATATAATGGAATATAATTTAGCCATAAAAAGGAATAAGGCCAGTTCAAGATGGAGACATAAGCAGATCCTGAACTCACCTCCTCCCATGGACACACCAGATCCACAGCTCCATATGGAACGATTTCCTCTGAAAACAAAAACAAAAGCTGAGGGACTCGTAACATGGGGCAAACCACCCACACTGAGGTGGGCAGGCAAGGCAGAGATGCAATCTTGCTGAAAACCCCACCTTCAGCATTCAAAATCCAGAGCTCCTCATGAGGAGTGAAGGGTTTGAACCCCATATCGGGAAGCCCAACTTTTAAGACCTACCCCTGAGAAATAAGCCCCTAAAACTTAGAGCTTTGAAAGCCAGCAGGGTTTGCATCCATGAGGCCCAAAAGGCTAGTGTGCAAACTGAGAAATGGCTCAGAACGGGCTCAGGGCCCCTAACAGGGCCCCTGGCCTCCCCTGCACACCAGAGCCCAGTGCAGAAGTAGCCAGACTTGACATCAAACAGGCTTACTGCTCTTAAAGCATTGGCCTGAGAGGCAGACATCTTATTTAACACACATCTGGGGGCCTGCTGGGGTACTCTCCAAGGATGGCGGCCAGTGGAGACTTTTTAATCTAGGTACCATCTTCATGCCGTCCCCCCGTTGCGCTCCAGCGCACCAGTATCTCCCAGAGGGGAGCTTTTACATGCATGCATCTGGCACCATTTTTACACCTGGTGCCCCAGTTTTTGCAAGTGCCCACCCAGTGGATGCCCCTTGATCGCCTGGCTCTAGAGGCCGGCAGGGCCTACATTCCGGGGACCCACAGGACTCTAACAACTGGAGAGACAAGTTCTCGGCCGGCTACCAGGGTACTGCACAGCTGGCAGACTGAAATACATGCCCAGTCTGTCTGTGATAAAGGACTATGTGCTTGTCCTGCAGCGTCGGCCTGAGGGCAGGCCTCTGGTTTGGCACCCATCTAGAAGGACTCTCAGGGCAGGGAGGCTGGTGGACGTCATGTTTACCCTCTTTCTCTGCCTCCCTCCAGCGTGTCCGTGTCTCCCAGAAAGGAGTTTATACCCTCATTTGGTGCCCTGATTTTTGCAGGTACTATGAGGTGACACCTCTAGATTGCCAAGCATGGGTCACACAGGACTGTAACCAATAGAGAAAGAGTTTTTAACTGTCTACCATTTCCAGAGCACAGCAAGAGGCAACAGTCCGAGGAGCCGAGTTTTTCTGTGAAAGAGGCCTATGAGTTAATTTCCACAGTTACGTCTAAGGGATAGACTTCTGATCCAACACACATCTGAGGGCCGTCTGTAAACTGTTCCAGAGACCTCAGAGGGCTAGCTTTATGTTCTCCTTCTGCCATGCTCCAGAGTGCCAGCATCCCCAGGGGGCAGTTTGTACACAGGTCTGGTACCAGTTTTTATGCCTGGTACCTGATTGCTGTGACCACCACCTAGCGGATGGCCCTTCACTGCCTAGCTCTGGTGGCCAGCAGGATCTGCATTCCTATAGCCCATAGGACTGTAACAAGTGGGGAGGCCGACTTCGGCGGGCTACAAACTCCAGGACACAATACACACACGAGCTAACACCCCCCCGGCCCCCACTCCCCACGCTTTCTGTGATAAAGGACTATTTGCTTGTCCTGGAGCTCTGGCCTGAGGGGCAGGCTTTTGGTTTGACATACATCTAAGGACCTTCTAAGATGCTGTACTGGGACAGAAGTCAGGAGATGCCACCCTGTACACTCTATCTGCCTTGCTTCAGATTGCTGTTATCTCCCAGAAAGGAGCTCATATAGTTGTCTGGTACCCCAATTTTTGTGATTAACACTCAGGAGACACTTCCAAGGTGCCCAGCGTAGGTAGCCAGCAGGATTAATGTTTGTAGTCCTACAGGACTGTATATATTTGTATGGTTTAAGAGCTGCTGCCTGAGGGGTCTGACTTATAATCAGCCTGAATCTAGTTGTTGACTTAGATCCTCCTCTATGGGACAGCTAAGGAATACAACTGATGAGCTGAAAAATAACCAGAGGGGTTCAACAGTAAATTAGATGAAGAAGAAGAAAGGATGAGTAAACTCAAATACAGGGCAGTAGAACTCACCCAATCAGAGCAACAAAAAAGAAAAAAAAACAAACAAACCAAAAAACAATGTAAAAAAGTAGATAGCTTAGAGAACTTAAGAAACAACAGGGCGCCTGGGTGGCTCAGACGGTTAAGCGTCTGCCTTCGGCTCAGGTCGTGATCCTGGAGTCCCGGGATCGAGTCCCACATCGGGCTCCCTGCTCAGCGGGGAGCCTGCTTCTCCCTCTGACCCTCTCCCCTCTCATGCTGTTTCTCTCTCGCTCGCTCTCTAAAAAATAAATAAAATCTTTAAAACAAAACAAAACAAAACAACAAACAGACCAATACTTGCATTAGAAGGTTCCAGAAGAAGGAGAAAAGAGAAAGGGGCAGAAAACTCATTTGAAGAAAGAACAGGTAGCTGAAAATTTCTCTAACTTGGGGAAGGAAACGGACATCCAGATCCAGGAAGCCCTGAGAGTTCCAAATAAGAACCTGAAAAGACTCAAACCAAGACACATTATAATTAAAATGTCAAAAGCTAAAGACAAGGAAAGAATTTTAAAAACATCAAGAGAAAAACAATTTGCCACGTAAAAGAGATTTCCCCTGTACAATCAGCAGATTTTTCAGGAGAAACTTTGCAGACTAGAAGAGAGTGTCAGGATGTATTCAAAGTGCTGAAAAAAAACCTTCCAAACTTTCAACCAAGACTACAGCGCCTGGCAGTGTTTTCATTCTTAATTTAAGGAGCAATAAAGAGTTTTCCAGACAAGCAAAAGCAAAAAGGAGTTCATCACCACTACCCTGGCTTAGAAGAAAGCTTAAAGGGACTTCTATAGGCTGAAATAGAAGGGTGCTAATTAGAACAGGAAAACACAAAAGTATAAATCTCACTAGTGAAGGTAAAAATATAGTGAAATTCAGAATCTACTGTAAAGGTGGTGGATTAATTGCTTAAAAAGCTTGTATGAAAAAAAAGCTTGTATAAAAAAAAAGCTTGTATGAGAGTTGAAGCACAGAAGTAGTAAAAATAGCTGCAACTATAATAATTTAATGAGGGATACTCAAAATAAAAAGACTTAAACTGAACAGAAACATAAAACTGGTGGGGGGGGCAGTTAAAAATGTAGAGCTTTAGAAGGTATTCAAACGTGTAAGTCGTTATCAAATTAAGTTACTGTTATAAGTTATGTGTAAGCTTCATGGTAACCACAAAGCAAAAACCCAGTCGATACACAAAAGATAGAGAAAGAGAATCAAGCATACCACTTCAGAAAATCACCAAATCACAAGGGAAGAGAATAAGGGAATAAAGAAAGGAACAGAAGAACTACAAAACTGCCAAAGAACAATTAACAAGATGACATTAAGTACATACATATCAAAAATTACTTTAAATGTAAAAGAACTAGGGAAGCCTGGGGGTCGGTGCTCAGGTCATGATCCCAGAGTCCTGGGATCGAATTCCACATAGCTCCTTGCTCAGCAGGGAGCCTGCTTCTCCCTCTGCTTGTACTCTCTTTCTGACAAATAAAATCTTTTTTAAAAATGTAAAAGAACTAAATTATTTAATCAAAAGACACAGAGTGGCTGAATGGATAAAAGACAAGACCCATCTATATGCTACGTACAACAGCTTCACTTCACATATAAGGACACACACAGACTGAAAGTGAAGGGATAGAAAAAAACAGTCCGTGCAAATGGAAACCAAAAGAAAGCCGGGTGACTATAATGACATCAGACAATATAGACTTTAAAACAGGGGCTATAATAAGAGACAAAAAAAATCATTACATAATGATAAAAGGGTCACCCACCAAGAGCATATAGCATTTGTATTTATGCACCCAAAAATAATAGCAAAAATATATAAAGCAAATATTAACAGAAATAATGAGAGAAATAACCAGCAATACAATAATACTACAGTACTTTAATACCCCAGTTTCATCAGTGGATAGATCATCCAGACGGAAAATCAATAAGGAAACACTGGCTCTAAAAAATCCATTAGGCTAGATGGATGTAACAAATATATACAGAACATTCCATCCAAAAACAACAGAATAAACATTCTTCTCAACTGCACAAAGAACATTATTCAGGACAGATTACATATTAGGCCACAAAACAAGTCTTAATAAATTTAAGAAGATTTAAATCATCTCAAGCATCTTTTCTGATCACAATGGATAAAACGAGAAATCTATTACAAGAAGAAAACTGGAAAATTCACAAATATGTGAACCACCAATGAGTCAAATAGCAAAAGAGAAATAAAAAGTGCCTTGAGACAAATGAAAGTAATACAATATACCAAAACTTCTGGGATGCAGCAAAAGCAGTTCTAGGAGGTAAGCGCAGAACAATAAATGCCTACCTCAAGAAACAAGAAAAATCTCAAAAACAAAAAAAACACACAAAACACCTAACTTTACACACCAAAGAACCAGAAAAAGAGGAACAGAGCTCAAACTTAGTAGAAGAAAAAAAATAACAAAGATCAAACCTAATATAAATGAAATAAAGACTAAAAAAGCAATAGAAGGGGCACCTGGGTGGCTCAGTGAGTAAAGCATCTGCCTTCGGCTCAGGTCACGATCCCAGGGCCCTGGGATCAAGTCCCTCATCGCATCATTGGGCTCCTTGCTCAGCGGGGAGTCTGCTTCTCCTTCTCCCTCCCCTTCTCCCTCTGTGTGCTTGAGTGCTCTCACTCTCTGTCTCTCAAATAAATAAATCTTAAAAATAAAATAAAAAAGCAACAGAAAAAGGTCAATGAAACTAAGCTGGTTTTTGAAAAGATACACAAAATTTACAAATCTTTAGACACACCAAGAAAAAAGTGGTACCACAGAAATACAAAGGATAACAGAGTACTATGAAAATTATAGTCCAACAAATTGAACAACCCGGAAGAAATGGATAAATTCCTTGAAACCTACAACCTACAAAATTTAATCCTGAAGAAACAGAAAATCTAAACAGACCAATTTACTAGTATAGTAAGGAGACTGAAGCAGTAATCAAAAACCTCCCAACAAACAAAAGTCCAGGATCAGAGAGCTTCACTGGTGAATTCTACCAAATAATCCCAATCATTTTAAAACTCTTCCAAAAAAACAGAAGAGGAAGAATACTTCCAAATTCATTTTATGATGCCAGCATTACCCTTATAGCAAACCAAACGAATATACTACAAGAAAAGAAAATTACAGGCCAATATACTTGATGAACATAGATGCAAAAATCCTCAATAAAATATAGGCAAACAAAATTCAAGAACACTAAAAGTACCATACACTATGGTCAAGTGGGATTTATTCCAGGGATGCAAAGATGGTACAACATCCACAAATCAATCAATGTAACACAGCACATTAACAAAATGAATGATGAAAATCATACAACCGTCTCAACAGATGACAAGAAAGCATTTGACAAATTCAACATCCATTTATGATAAAAACTCTCAACAAAGTGGGTATAGAGGAAATGTACCTCAACATAATAAAAACCATATATGAACCCACAGCTAACATGGTACTGAAAAAGCTGAAAGCTTTTCCTCTAACATCAGGAACAAGACGTGGATGCCCACTCTCCCCACCTTTACTGAATACAGTATTAGAAATCCTAGGGGCGCCTGGGTGGCTCAGTTGGTTAAGCGACTGCCTTCGGCTCAGGTCATGATCCTGGAGTCCGGGATCGAGTCCCGCATCGGGCTCCCTGCTCAGCGGGGGGGTCTGCTTCTCCCTCTGGCCCTCCCCCATCTCATGCTCTCTCTCTCGCTCTCATTCTATCAAATAAATAAATAAATAAAATCTTTAAAAAAATAAAAATAAAAAAAAATAAAAAAAGAAATCCTAGCCAGAAAAATCAAGCAAGATAGAAAAATAAAAGGCACCCAAATCAGAAAGGAAGAAGTAAAACTGTAACTATTTGCAGATGACATGATATTATAGAAAATCCTAAAGACACCATCAAAAAAACTGTTAAAACAAAAAAACTCTGAAGTTGCAGGATACAAAATCAATATAGAAAAATCTGTTGCATTTCTATACACTAAGAACAAAGTAGTAGAAAGAAAAATTAAGAAAACAACTGTATTTACAACTGCATCACAAAGAATACCTAGGAATGAATTTAATGTACACTACGTGCACCCCAATGTTTATAGCAGCAATGTCCACAATAGCCCAAGCTATGGAAAGAGCCAAGATGTCCATCAACAGATGAATGGATAAAGAAGATGTGGTACATATACACAATGGAATATTATGCAGCCATCAAAAAACCCCTGAAATCTTGCCATTTGCAATGACGTGGATAGAACTAGAGGGTATTATGCTAAGTGAAGTAAGTCAATCAGAGAAAGACATGTATCATATGACCTCACTGATACGAGGAATTTTTAATCTCAGGAAATGAACTGAGGGTTGCTGGAATGGTGGGGGGTGGGAGGGATGGGGTAGCTAGGTGATGGACACTAGGGAGGGTATGTGCTATGATGAGCACTGTGAATTGTGTAAGACTGATGAATCACAGATCTGTACCTCTGAAACAAATAATACATTATATGTTAAGAAAAAAAAAAGATGATGGTAGGAAGGGAAAAATGAAGAGGGGGAAATCGGAGGGTGAGATGAACCATGAGAGACTATGGACTCTGAGAAACAAACTGAGGGTTTTAGAGGGGAGAGGGGTGCGCAGATGGGTTAGCCTGGTGATGGGTATTAAAGAGGGCACGTATTGAATGGAGCACTGGGTGTTATACGCAAACAATGAATCATGGAACCCTACATCAAAAACTAATGGTGTAATGTATGGTGATTAATGTAACAATAAAATAAAATTTAAAAAAATTTAATGTACACTAAAAACTATAAAACATTGAAAAAAGCAATTGAAGATGACACAAATAAATGGAAAGATATTCTGTGCTCATGGAATGGAAAAATTAGTATTGTTTAAATGTCCATACTACCCAAAGCAATCTATATATTTAATGAAATCCTGATCAAAATTTCAATGGTATTTTTCACAGCAACAGAACAATCCTAAAATTTTTATGTAACCACAAAAGAGCCTGAATATCCAAAGCAATCTTGAAAAATAAAAACAAAGCTGGTGGAATCATACTCTCTGATTTCCAATAATGTTACAAAGCTATAGTAATCAAAACAGTACGGTATTGGCATAAAAACAGACACATAGATCAATGGAACAAAACAGAGAAATAAACCCACACATATATGGTCAATTAATTAAAAAAAAAAAAAAGAGCCAAGAATATACAATGGGGAAAGAACAGTCTCTTCAATAAATGGTGTTGGGAAAATTGGACAACCATATGCAAAAGAATGAAGCTGGACCACTCTGATACAGGGAAGATGGAGTAGGATTCTAAACTCACCTTGTCCCACAGATACACCATCCGCATTCATGTAACTAAGCCAGAAAATGACCCAAGGACTGGCAGAATGGCTCTCCAGAGTTAACCATAGAAAGGAGGCTACATCAAAAGGGGTGGGAAGGGTAGAGATGGTCAGAAACCAAACCAACCTTTGTGACTAATCACAAGTGGGAGGGACACCAGGAGTACACAGGGAGAACACACCTACACCAGGCCCCCCAGCCCAGGACCTGCACTGGGAAGACAAATCCCCATAACATCTGGCTTTGAGAACCAGAGGGGCTTAACACCAGGAACTTTAAAAATCAGGGGGCCGGATCTGGGAGAGCCGGAAGGCAAGGGTGATAGGAAACAGTCCCTGTCCTTAAAGAGAGAGCATAACAAACAACCCCTCAGAGATAGAGCATAGAAGCAGTGGTTTGAAAAGCGCCTAGGGTACGCGGGAGGATTTATTTACTAATCTCAAAACAAGCACTGGAGGGGCAGAGATCTTCAGGAGACTTCTCCAAGAATAAAAGAGCTGGTGGGCACCACTTCTCTCCCCTCACCTCAGTCTAGATACAGATAGCTGTGGGAACCAACATAAAATCTCAGCCACCTAGCATGTAACACCACAGCCTGCCCCCCCATTCTCCTGTGGACTGCCCCCTCCAACTGCCCCACCCAGCAGGAGTCCGTGCAAAGCGACACCACAAGCTTCTCCTGGTGCAAGCAGCTCCAACAGCCACTCCAAAGTGACTCTTGCCCTGGGGAGAGGGGAAGATAAGCACACACACCAGTCCCACTGCAGCCCCAGCAGCGGGTAGGGTGCAGACAGCTGATCTGACTGCTGGCCCTGCCTACCAACAAAAACCTCACAGGGGGCAGCACAAAGAGTCTGGTAGTAGTTCAAGGTCACTGCAACCCCAATAGACTGAGGACAGACATCTGGTCTGACTGCAGGCCCCGCCCACCAGTGAAAGCCTCTCTGGGGACAACATGGGGAGAGCACCCTGCAGGTCAGTGCAACCAGTTCTGGCAAATGGGCAGAAGGCAGGCATCCGGTCTGACCCAACGCAAGCCCAAGGCAGGCCCGGACTAGCCCCTTAACAGCACTGGGACCAAACTGCCTACAACAGGCAAAGAGGGCCACTGCAGACCAGCGGACCCAAGGCAGACATGGCTCAACCACAACAGCAGGGCACACGCAACACAAGTCTCAATCCTCTGTCCCCATGTGTGGGCTTCTTTGTAACCTCCCCGGTCGAATTTATCGCCCAGTTGGCTCCCATCGTCTCTGTGAGACTGCCTAAATATACGTGGGCTCCGAGGGAAGCTGAACTTTAACATTCACCAAGGACAAAATGACTCCACAAAACCTCAAAGCATGGGCCCTATTCCTGCCCTGAGCACACAGTCCACATCTGCTTGCTTGCTTGCTTGCTTGCTTTCAGATTTTATTTTATTTTTTGACAGAGAGAGAGGCAGCAAGAGAGGGAACACAAGCAGGGGGAGTGGGAGAAGGAGAAGCAGGCTTCCCATGGAGCAGGGAGCCCGATGCGGGGCTCGATCCCAGGACCCTGAGATCATGACCCGAGCCGAAGGCAGACGCTTAATGACTGAGCCATCCAGGTGCTCCCACATCTGCTTTATTTAAAAAATCACGGGAGCGCCTGGGTGGCTCAGTGGGTTAATAAGCATCTACCTTCGGCTAGGGTCATGATCCCAGGGTCCTGGGATAGAGCCCCACATCCGGCTCCTTGCTCAACAGAGAGCCTGCTTCTCCCTCTCCCTCTGCTGCTCCCCCTGCCTGTTCTCTCTCTCAAATAAATAAATAAATAAATAAAATCTTTGGAAAAAATCACCAATAAAGCATTCCAAACATAAAGATAAAAAACATTTCTGGTTCCCATAATATGAAAGTCATACAGCCTTGCACATACTAAAAACATAAGATAAAGTCTATTAACTTTCTAGAATGCCCTTTGTTAATAATCTAATTTTTATGTAAAAAAAACACATAACCCTGCACCAAATGTTCCCTTCCCCCAAGCACTCTTTTCTTTGTGAAGATTGTGTATCCAGAGCATCTGTCCTAACTTGGGCTCAACTAAAACTTTTTTCCTTTTAAAAATTTTTAACAGGGTTTGTTCATTTTGCGTCAACACTTCTTGGCATAGTCTGCAGGACATCAGAGCAACTCACCTGAGATCTCCTGGGGGTCCTCTGGAGCTCGGTGCTCAGTGCCAGCATGGGCCCTTTGTGCCCCTCCGACTTCTCAGCACCTCACAGGTGTTATCGGGTGAGTTCAGATATCCGGACCTCCTCAATTTGAGTTGATGGTCCTGACTTCTATTCCAGCTGTTGAGGGTTACCAGTAACGTTCTCTAGGTGGGAATAACCTAGAGGGGTTGGTGTTGATGGGTGATTTGTTTTAATTTGGCATTATACAAATTAATGTTTTAATATAAGGCTTGAGTAAACTTTCTGACTAGAAATATGAGAGACTAAATCTTTGGTAGCCTAAAACTAGCTAGGTTAAATGATAAATTGGTTCAAACTCATTGGATATCTAAGTCTTTTCCAAATAAAATAAAATAATAAAACACTAAATACTAAACACAGGTTTACCTACGTTTGTCTTATTAGAGGAAAACTAAAGATAAATTTGGGTTTATTAGTAAACATGTTTTATGCTTTATTAAAAGATTGTACTATGAAGAAACATTTTTAGAAATTATGAAATATATTCATAAACGTACCAATCTAAAGGATACAGGCATAACAGTTCACAATTGCTTACTACTTAGTTTCTACTACAAATCAAGGTTTCTAAGCATTAAAAATACTGATAAATGTAACTAAGACCACTGGAAATAAAAAGGAAAATATCTTGGTATGCAAGGAAAGTTAGAGATGTGTTTTTGGTAAGATAGAGTATGAGGAATAAAAATACATTTTTGTTGAGGGAAAAGAAGGTCATTTAGTCCTGAAATGAGACTGGTTATTTAGAGAGAAAAAAACATAGGACAAAATCTGAATGGAAAAGAAAGTTGTAGGTTTGTGAAGGGAAATCTTTGGAAAAAAATTTTATGAGTGCTCAGGACTAAGATTGGGATGAATGAATCTTAAAGGTACACTAATATAAGATTGAAATTTGGTTTTTCCCTCTCTTAAAAAAGCAAAGTTTTCTTCGATTGTGGGTCTGCTCTTAATAAATTATAAACCAACTTTTTTCCCCTTTATCTGCCCAGAAAAAACAAGGTTTCTATATTTGTTTTTATCAGGTCCTTGATTACTTAGGAAAACTAAATCTTCTCAGCTGTAAAGGAGCTAATAACCCTATGAATTTGCCTTCTGAATCTTTTGTTGCCACCTTGGTTGAATAATCAAATATTAAGTTCTATAAAAATCTATGATCCTATTTAGGCATGTGCTTTAGAACTTTCTGAGGTTTTTAACAAACTTCCCCAAAACTCAAATTCTAAATGTAGTCTTTTTAACTAATTAGGCTTATTTGGTATGTTGTTACATGGGAAGTGTGGGCAAACAAACGATGATAAATCTTAGGCTATACTGTGTGAGTAAACGTTGTAACTATTCCAGAAAATATATAAAATTCCTAAAATTTTAATATGTTCTGGTATAATGTCATCACTTAAAATTCTAATTATTAAAATGTTGTGTACCACAAAAATAATCAAATTTTCTTGTCAACTCATTATAATGAACTTTCATCAGATCAGATCCCTATAATGTGAATATTATTACACATTATGGTATCACTGTGTTCCCTTAACCTAGTCTCATTTTTTATTATTTTTTCTTTTTCTGTTCTGTTTGGTTGCTTTCCATTACTCTTTCTTCCAGCTCACTGATCTGTTCTTCTGTTTTCTCTAATCTTTTATTCCCTGTACTGTATTTTTAATTTCAGTTATTAAGTTCTTTATCTGATTTTTTAAATAGGTTAAGGGAACTCAGTGACACCATCATGTATAATAATATTCACATTATAGGGATTCCAGATGGAGAAGAGAAGATAAAAGGGGGCAGAAAATTTATTTGAAGAAATAATAGCTGAAAACTTCCCTAAGGTGGGGAAGGAAACAAATCCATATCCAGGAGGCACAGAGAGCCTACAATAAAATCAGTCTGAGGAGACTCACACCAAGGCACATAACAATTAAAATGGCAACACACAGTGATAAAGAGAATTTTTAAAAACAGCAAGAGAAAAGAGTTACATACAAGGCTCCATAAGGCTATCAGCTGATTTTTCAGCAGAAACTTTGCAGGCCAGAAAAGAGTGCTAATTTGTGCTAAAAGGAAAAAACCTGAAACCAAGAATACTCTGCCCAGCAAGACTATCATTCAGAATAGAAGAAGGGATAAAGAGTTTCTCAAACAAAACTTAAAGGAATTAATCATCACTAAACAAGCCTTACAAGTAATGTTAGCGGACCTGCTGGGTGGCTTAGTTGGTTGGGCAGCCAACTCTTGATTTTGGCTTGGGTCATGATCTCAGGATCATGGGGTCAAACCCTGTATTGGGCTCCACCCTCAGTGTGTGGAGTCTGCTTGTCCCTCTTCCTCCCTCCCCCCACTAGCGTGTACATGCTCTCTAAAATAAATAAATAAAATCTTAAAAAGAAAAATGTTGGAGGGAATTCTATGAGTGGAAAGGAAAGGCCACAATCAGGAATAAGAAAATTAGTAAAGGACATAATTCACAGGTACATACAAACATAATAAAAGTAGATTAATCCCTTATAAAACCAGTATAAAGATTAAAGCACAAAAACAGTAAAATCAATAATACCTATAAAAATTAGTCAAGGGGTCCACAAAATAAAAGGATGTAAAGTATGATGAAACCATATACATAAAATGTGTGTTTGTGTGTGGGGGGAATAAAAATTTAGTGCTTTTATTTTTTTTTTTAAAGATTTTATTCACTCATTTGACAGAGACACAGCAAGAGAAGGAACATAAGCAGGGAGGGTAGGAAAGGGAGAAGCAGGCTTCCCGCTAAGAAGGCAGCCCAACGGGGGCTCAATCCCAGGATCCTGGGATCATGACCCGAGCCGAATGCAGACGCTTAACGAATGAGCCACCCAGGTGCCCCAATCTAGTGCTTTTAAAATGGATTCAAAATTAAGCGACCATCAACCTAATACAGACTGCTACATGCATAGTATATTACATATAAACCAAATTAGAACAGATAAATTACTAGCAATAAAATTAAGCCAATAATCCAAAAACTCCCAATAAATAAAAGTGCAGGACCAGATGGCTTCACAGGTGAATTCTACCAAACAGTTAAGAGTAGAGTTAACAACTATTTTTCTCAAACTATTCCAAAATATAGAAGAGGAAGGAAAGCTTTGAAATTCAATCTAAGAGGACAGCATTGCCCTGTTAACAAAATCAGATAAACACACTTAAAAAAAGGAGAACACATGACAGTCTCTGACCAACATAGATGCAAAGTTCCTCAATAAGATGTTAGCAAACTGATTCCAGCAATATATTAAAAAAAATAAAATAAAATAAAAACACCACGATCAAGTGGGATTTATTCCTGGGATACAATGGTAGTTCAAATCAATCAATGTGATACATCGCATCAACAGGAGAAAGGATAAAAACCATATGATCATTTCAATAGATGCACAAAAAGCATTTGACAAAGTACAACATCCATTCATGATAAAAACCCTCAACAAAGTAGGTTTATTTTTTTGTTGTTTAAAGATTTTATTTATGGGGCACCTGGGTGGCTCAGTCATTAAGCGTCTGCCTTCGGCTCAGATCATGATCCCAGAGTCCTGGGATCAAGCCCTGCATCAGGCTCCTGCTTGGCGGGAGGTCTGCTTCTCCCTCTCCCACTCCCCCTGCTTGTGTTCCCTCTCTCGCTGTGTCTCTCTCTGTCAAATAAATAAATAAAATCTTAAAAAATAAAAAAAGATTTTATTTATTTATTGGAGAGAGTGAGACAGAGATAGCAACAGAGATAATGAGAGAGAGCACGAGCTGGGGCGGGGGGGGCGCAGAGAGGGGCAGAGGGAGAAGCAGAATCCCCACTGAGCAGGGAGCTGGATGTGGGGCTCAATCCCAGGACCCTGGGATCATGACCTGAGCCAAAGGCAGACACTTAACCAACTGAGCTACCCAGAAGCCCCAACAAAGTAGGTTTAGAGGAAACATACCTCAACATAATAAAGACCATATGTGAAAAATCTACAGGTAACATCATACTTAATGGTGAAAAACTGAGAGCTCTTCCCCTAAGATCAGGAACAAGACAAGGTTTCCACTCTCACCACTTTTATTCAACATAGTATTAGAAGTCCTAGCCACAGAAATCAGATTAGAAAAAGGAATATAAGGAATCCAAATTGGTAAGGAAGAAGTAAAACTTTCACTATTTTCAGATGACATGTTACTGTATATAGAAAGCCCTAAAGACTCCACCAAAAAACTACTTGAACTGATAAACAGTAAAGCTGCAAGATACAAAATTGATATACAGAAATTGTTACGGAACCTGGACTGGATCGCCCGATGGAAGAACCAAGCGGCACCCGGAAATCTTGGAGGATAGGAGGTTTATTTAACGCCGGTGGGCTCAGAGGAGAGTGGTCTCCAAAGGTCTGAGCCCCAAGCACAAACACAGGGGGCAATTTATACATATCTACTTCTGCATACTTGGCATTTTTGGTGCGTGCATGAACCGGGGTAGGGAGAAGAACCTGGATTGGTCCACGCAGGAAGCAAAGAGAAGAACCTGGAAGAGCCCTGGGGCAAGGACTGGGACTCTCGCGCTGGCTCGGTTGGCCATCTTAGGACACAGATTTTCCTTATCAAAATTGGTTCCATCTCTATACACTAATAATGAAGTAGCAGAAAGAGAAATTAAGAAAATAATCAACTGCATCAAAAGTAAAAAAAACCCAAAAACCTAGGAACAAACTTAAGAAGATGAAACACCTGTACACCAAAAATTACTACCCAAGGCACCCTACAGATTTAATGCAATCAGACTACCAACATCATCTGCACAGAATTAGAACAAATAATCCTAAAATTTGTATGGAACTACAAAAGACTCCAAACAGCCAAAGCAATTTTAAAAAAAAGAACAAAACTGATGGTATCACAATCTCAGATTTCAAGTTTACTACAAAGCTGCAGTTATCAAAACAGTATGTACTGGCACAAAAATAGACACACTGATCCATGGAACAGAATAGAGAACCTAGAAATAAACCCATACTTATGTGGTCAATTAATCTACGACAAAGGAGGCAAGAATATACAATGGGAAAAAGACAGTCTCTTCAACAGATGGTGACGGGAAAACTGGACAGCTACATGCAAAAGAATAAAACTGGACTACTTTCTTACGCCATACACAAAAACTCAAAATGGATTAAAGACCTAAATGTGAGATCTGAAACCATAAAATTCCTAGAAGAAAACAGGAAATAAGCTCTTTGACGTCAGCTGTAGAAACATTTTTCTAGATATGTCACCTTTGGCAAGGGAAACAAAAGCAAAATAAACTGTTGGGACTACACCAAAATAAAATCTTGAAATTTACAACATAATGGATGAGCCTTGAGGGCATTAGGCTAAGGGAAATAAATCGAGAAAGACAAATATTGTATGATTTCACTTATATGTGGAGTCTAAAAGCAAACAAACAACAATAAAACAAAACAAAACAAAAAACCCTGGACCTCATGGATACTGAGAATAGACTGGTGGTTGCCATAGAAGGGGGAGGTAGGGAGTGAAAAGGTAAACAACTTCCACCTATAAATCATGGGGATGTAATATACACAAAATGTACATTTGTTCTATACTTATTGTATATTTGAAAACTGCTAAGAGTAAATCCTAAAAGTTCTTGTCATAAGAAAAAAAATTTGTAAGTATGTATAGTGATGGATGTTAACGAGACTTGTAATCATTTCACAATATATACAAATATCAAAATATTGTGTTGTAAACCTGAAACTGTTTTATGTAAATTATATCAATAAAAAATATTTTTAAAAAGGAATGAAGTGCTGGGACACGTGGGTGGCTCAGACGGTTAGGCATTTGACTCTTGGGTTTCAGCTCAGGTCGTGATCTCAGGGTTGTGGATTGAGCTCTGCATCGGGCTCTGCGCTCAGTGCAGAGTCTGCTTAAGATTCTCTCTCTTCCTCTCCCTCTGCCCCACCCCCTCTGTGAGCGTGTGTGCACATCCTCTCTTTCTCTCTCATAAATAAATAAATCTTAAAAAAAAAAAAAAGGAATGAAATGCTACTACAAGCTGCATGGTGGGAGAACCTGCAACACATTATGCTAAATAAAAGATGCCAGATTCAAGTTTACACATTTATGATTCCACTTCTATGAAATGCCCAGAATAGTTAAATGTATAGAGACAGCTGATATGTGGTTTTCAGGGGCTAAGGGTAAAAAGGAATTGTTTTTTTTTTGTTTTTTTGGTTTTTTTTAAGATTTTATTTATTCATTTGACAGAGAGAGACACAGCGAGAGAGGGAACACAAGCAGGGGGAGTGGGAGAGGGAGAAGCAGGCTTCCCGCGGAGCAGGAAGCCTGATGCGGGGCTCGATCCCAGGACCCTGGGATCATGACCTGAGCCGAAGGCAGATGCTTAACGACTGAGCCACCCAGGCGCCCCGGTAAAAAGGAATTGTAATACAAGCCCTGACAGTTTTTTGCTGTTGTTTTTTACGATGCAAGTGCATGACTTGAGCTTTGATTGCCCCAGGCATCTACTTCAAGAGGGTATCTCTAATAAACACATGGCCAGCCACAACTAGAAAAAAAGCTAGGCTGCCTACCTTGACTTAAGCTCCTTTGTTTTAGAGATCTTGGTTGATTTTGATAAATGACCATTTGGGCCACTTGCCTTTTCTCTCTCCACACTTTAAATTCACACTCTTCTGGAAAGCTTGATTTTCTCTTTATACGAAACAATAACAATGCAAAAACCACCTTAGCCTTAAGATTATAGTGATTCTTTAGGATCAGTTCAAAGATCTTCCTTTACTCCTGCATATAAATATGAAGAAGTAATGATGCCTCCAACAGACATGGGTGGATAACTCACCACCTATTCCCAACCCCCTTCCTTCCTTGCCTACCCCCACTACAGACTGGAAATGTAAATACCTACTTTCCCAAACTCCCTTGTAGCTAGGGATGGTGACGTGACCTACTTCTAGTCAATGAGACAAAAGGAGAAGCATGATGGGAAGACTTACTTTACTGCCTTTCCCCTCATCTTACCTCATCTCACTTCTCCCTTTGAATATGAATGGGATGCCCAGAGCTCTGGCAGCCATGTTGTGATCATGAGGCAACAAGCCAACATGTTAAGACAGCAGAGAAAAAAATTAGGTTACTGATGTAGCTGAACTCCTGAATTCCTACCTCCAGACTACTTCCATGTAAGAAAAAAATAAAGCCTTATTTGTTTAAACTATGTTAGGTTTTCTGGTATTTGTGGTTGAAAGCAATTCTAAATGATACAATGCATGAAAATGCAGCAAACCCAAGGAAAAGAAGAGGATTAAAGAGGAAAAATAATTTAAAACAATTAGACAAAACAAATAAACAAAAACCCTCAAATAAATTAGGACAAAAAAATTGCAAGGAAGGAAACAAATCTATCATTTTTGAAGGGGATATGGTGGTATTCTTGGAAAATCTAAGAGATTCAACTAAAAATAGTATGGTAATAATTCAACAAGATAGTGGAAACAAAATAAATACAAAGATAACTTGCAGTTTTACAAACAACAAACAAGACATAATTGCAATTAAAAAAACAAAATACTTAGGAATAAACTTTTCAAGACCTATATGAACAATGTTAAAACACTAGCATATTTAGAAGAAGAGCTAAGCAAATGAAAGGCATGTCATGCTCTTGGCTAAAACCTAACATCACAGAGAGTCAATTCTCCCTAATTTATAAATGGCATATCATCCCCACAAAAATGACAACAGTTTTCATTAATAGGCTGATTGTAAAGTTCATATGGAGACATTACTAAGAGACAGAAAACTGAAAAAGACAACAATGAGGGAGACTACCCCTACCAGATAATAAATCATAATTTAAAAACTAATTTAAACAGTGTGATTCTAATGCATGATTATACCATCCATGGAACAGAACAGAAAACCCAGAAATAGACCCAAACACATGGAAACTCACTACACATAAAGGTGGTACCAAAGATCAGTAGGGGTAAAGACAGACTTTTTAATAAAGGGTGTTGGAACAATAAGAAAACAAACCAGATACCATACAATGTAGTAGAATAAACTCCAAATAAAAGATTTAAATGTAAAACAGAAACAAAAACAAGAAAAACAGTAACTCATAAAAGTTGGAAGAAAAACATGAGAAAATTCAAATATAGACTAAGAGTAGAGAAAGCCTTTAAAATTAAGATTAAAAATCCAAGGGTGCCTGGGTGGCTCAGATGGTTAAGCGTCTGCCTTCGGCTCGTGTTGTGATCCTGGGGTCCTAGGATCAAGTCCCATATCGGGCTCCCCATGCTCTGCGGGGAGGCTGTTTCTCCCTCTCCCTCTGCCTGCCATTCCCCATACTTGTGCTCTCTCTCTGCCAAATAAATAAATTAAAAAAAAGATTAAAAATCCAAAGCCTCAGGGCACCTGGGTGGCTCAGTCGGTTAAGTGTCTGCCTTCGGCTCAGGTCATGATCTCAGGGTCCTGGGATCAAGCCCTGCATCGGGCTCCCTGCTCAGCAGGGAGGAGTTTGCTTCTCCCTTTCCCTCTCCCTCTGCCCCTCCACCCCACTCATGCTCTCTTTCTCTTTCTCTCAAAATCTTAAAAAAAAAAAAAAAATCCAAAGCCTCTAAGGAAAAAGGGTAATGACTTCAAGTGCATAAGGATGAAAGCATTCATTATAGAAGAAAAAAAATGCTATAAGCAAAGTCAAATGGCAAAATGGGAAAAAATATTTGCAACTCATATCACACAAAGGGCTAATCTCCCTAATACATAAAGACTTCCTTGGAACTGAAAGATGCTGACAATTCAACACAAAACAAAATGGGCAAAGTACATGAACAAAAAGAAAATCACAGAAAAAAGAAATACAAATGGCTCCTAAACACATGAAAAGATGTTTAAACTTACCTGTACTAGGGGTGCCTGGCTGGCTCAGTCAGTAGAGCATGTGACTCTTGATCTCAGGGTTGTGAGTTCAAGCCTCATATTGGGTATACAGCTTTAAAATTAAAAAAATTAAAAAATAAACTTACTTGTATTAAAGAAATACAAATCAAAGTGCTTTTGATAGACCATCCACACCTATCAACTTGACAAAAAAGGAAAGGTCTGGTAATGCACTGTTGAGACTATGGCAAAATAGGCTTTCTATTCTATTACTGGCAGGAATATAATTGATAAAACTCTAGGGAGGGCAATTTATCCATTAAAATTTCAAGGGCAGGGGCGCCTGGGTGGCTCAGTCAGTTAAGGGTCTGCTTTTGGCTCAGGTCATGATCCTAGTGTCCTGGGATGGAGCCCCGTATCAGGCTCCCTGCTCAGCAGGGAGTCTGCTTCTCCCTCTCCCTCTGCCCCTCTCCCCAGCCTCCCCACTTGTGCTCTCTGCTCTCTTTCATGCTCTCTCTCTCAAATACAGAAAATCTTTTTAAGAAAATTTCAAAAGCGGGGCACCTGGGTGGCTCAGTTGGTTAAGCGACTGCCTTCAGCTCGGGTCATGATCCTGGAGTCCCAGGATCGAGTCCCGCATCGGGCTCCCTGCTCAGCAGGGAGTCTGCTTCTCCCTCTGACCCTCCTCCCTCTCATGCTCTCTGTCTCTCATTGTCTCTCTCGCAAATGAATAAAATCTTAAAAAAAAAAAAAAAATTTAAAAAAAAAGAAAATTTCAAAAGCATGTACATTTCGACTTAGCAATCACATTTTTCAAATCTATCTGCAGTTCTATTTGCCCAAAGAAGAAAAAACATGTATTACAATGATTGTACTGCAGCACTATCTGTAATAGCAAAACATTGGAAATGAGCAAGAAATCCATCATAAGGGACAAGAATTTAATAAAGTACATCCTGATAACAGAACACAACAAAACTAAAATGGAAACTAAGGGAGAATAAGAAAAATCTCCATGATTCACTATGAAGCGAGAAGAGTCAAATGCAGAACTGTGTGTATAGCAGCTACCTTTTATGTAAAAAAAACAGAAGAAAGAGAATGAATTGACCTATAAATTTAATGAAATCCCAATCAAAATCCTATAAGATCTTTTGATAAAAATTGACAAGCTGATTCAATTTCAATTCAACTGGCAAGCTAAAATTCAAATGGAAATGCAAAGGACCTAAAATAACCAAAATGAGAAAGAAGAATAAAGTTGGAGGGGCTAACGCTACTTGATCTCAGGAATTATTATAAAGCTATTGTTACCAAAACAGCAGGGTTTTAGTCTTAAAGACAGCAAACAGATCAATGGAACAAAATTAATAGTCCAGAAATAAACCCACATATACATGGACAATCAATTTTTGACAAAGGTACAAAGGCAGTGAAGTGGAGAAAGGACAGACCTGTCAAGAAATGATGCTGGAACATTTGGATATTCATATGCAAAAAAAACCTAAACAAAAACTCCCACAAAACTTAGATCCATACCTCCTACAGGCAAAAGATGTGAACAGACACTTCAACAAAGATATACAGGAGTGATGTCATCAAGATGGCAACACTGTCTATTCCTGACTCTATTCCCCCTTACAAGGAGATCAACTAACTATTCATAAACAAGATACTACAGAGAGAATCCTAGAAGCCGAAGCACCCCCTGTAACATAGAGACCAAAGAAGACCTCATTAGAAGAGTAAAAGGAGAGTTACACACTGACCTCACGGCCTCTCCCCAAGGCTGGCACAGCAACATGCTGAGAGGTCTCCCCTGAGCCTATAGGTCCTCCGATGGGAAGAGAGAGCCCAGTGTGGACATCCAGCTGCCCCAGCATTGTGGGTTGCCTCCTGGGAGCCTCCATTTGGACTAATCCGACAGGGATCACAGAGTAATCTAGAGGGCTCAACTACTGGAGATCTGATTGCAACAGAGAATGGGGAATGGCATGCAACAACCAGCACTCAGATCTTGTTAGAGCAGATTCCTACCTGCAGCACCCAAGGAGCAATCCCAACCAGGAGTTTTGCTTATGCAGAGCCAAGCCCATAGCACAGTCTGACCAGAGAACTCAGCAGGGTACAGGTTTGCCTGATGGTAGGGTCCTCGAACAAAGAGCTTTGGAAGCCCTGTGAACTGGCTTGCTGTGCACAGGCAGACAAGTGAATCATAGCCTGGCACACGGCTGGCTGTCACTTCCAGTTTTTCCAGATCAGAAAGCCTGATCTGGTTCACCTATGAAGCTGCTTGGAACTAGCCTAGGCAGAAATCATAGCCCTGCCCATTGCTGAATAGAGCTTTCAGCCTGCCCAACCAGAAAACCTAACCACTGCACATGAGAACCCACACAGCCCATCCAACAGCCCTGTTTATAGCAGCTCTTGAACAGAGAGCACAGCCTATGGCTTTGCCCACCTGCAGAGCAAAAGCAGTGGCCCCATCTGGCCAGGGAATTCAGTACACAGTCTTGCCTGATTCAGGTTCATAAACCTGCAGCCCATCCTGCTGCTCCACCGGGGCAGGGAAGCTAATTCATAGTGCCATATACTGCTGAGTATAGTACCCCATCCTGACTGTCTAGTAAGCCTGACCAGAGAACCCAGGCAAAGGCAGAGCCCATCCTACAGCCTCACTTGGGCAGGGAACAGCTGTCCTAACTGTTCTCAGCCAGCAGTATCCCCTTCACCCCAACCTCAAAGCTTGGGCAGTGGTCTTGAACAAAGACAAATCCTGATAGCAGGTCCCATCTGCCCAAAGATGTTACCAGCAGACATGTCCAGTAACCTACACTGAACTGACTGGTAAAGAACTGTCCCTACTAAAGTTAACCTATAAAGTAAAGAAGAGGAAACTGCTCACTCAAATGCATACATAACAACATAAGGAATCAAAGACAATGAAAAATCAGGTAAACATGACACCACCAAAGGAAACTAATAAAGCTCTGATAACTAATCCTAAAGAAATGGAGATCTATGAGCTGTTAAACAATTCAGAACAGTCCTCTTAAAAGTTCAGCAAACTACAAGAACACACAGAAAGAACACAATTAAACAGTATTAGGAAAACAATGCATGAAGTACTCTAAATAGAAAGCCTCAAAAAAACCCACAACATAAATCCTAGAGCTGAAAAATGCAATGACTGAAGAATTCAATAAAGAGCTTCAAAAGTAGACTCAACCTAAAGAAATGCAAAAGAAAGAACCACTGATTTAGAAAACAGGACATTTGAAATCAGAGGAGCAAAATGAAAAAAGTAAAGAAAGCCTACAGTACTTACAGAACACAATCAAAAGAAATAATATCTGCATTATGGAAATGTCAGGAGAAGAGAAAGAAAGGGATAAAAACATACTTAAAGCAATAATGGCTAAAAATTTCCCAAACTTCTGGAGAGAAATGGGACATCCAGATCCATGAGGTCCAAAGGACTCCAAATAAATTGAACATGAATAGGGCTATACCAAGGATACATTATGACTGTCAAAAGTCAAAAACAGAAAAATAATTCTGAAGGCAGCAGAAAAACAGGGAAGTTTCATACAAGAAAACCTCCATAAGACTATTGGTGGATTTCTCAAGAGAAACTTTTCAGGCTAGGAAAGAATGGGATGATATATTCAAAAATGTTGAAGTGGGGGGAAATCTGTCAACCAAGAATTTTATACCCAGCAAAGCTGTCCTTCTCCCAAACAAAAGACTCTCAAACAAAAGCTGAGGAAGTTCATCACCTTTGTACCTGTCTTACAAGAAATGAAAAAGGGAGTTGAGTAGAAGGACACTAACAGAAATCATAAACATAAGAAGATAACATAAAACTTGCTAGTAATGGTAAATATATAGTCAAAGTTAAATTCTGTAATACGGTTAATGGTGGTGTGTCATTCACTTACAACTCTAGATTAAAAATTAAACATAGTAAAAATATCCTTAACTACAATAATGTTATTGGTTACATAATACGAAAAATATGTGAACCTTAGCCTCATAACTTAAATTGTGAGGGGGAGTAGAAATAAAAATGTAAAGTTTAGGAATGCTATTTAAATTCTTCTCAACTTGAGAAAGGGTGTTATAATTTTAAGATAATTTATTTAAGCTTCATGGTAACCACAAGGGAAGAACCTGTAGTAATTACACAAAAGAACATGATAATGAAGTCAAAGCGTACTGATACCAAAAGATATCAAACACACACAAAAATAATAGGATAAGAAACAAGGAACAATGGATCTATAAAATACCAGAAAACAATGAACAAAATGGCAATAGTTAGTGTTTACTTATCAATAATTACCTTAAATGTAAATGGATTAAATTCTCCAATTAGGGGCACCTGGTGGCTCAGCTGGTTAAGTGTCCAACGCTTGATCTCAGCTCAGGTCTTGATCTCAGGGTCATGAGTTTAAGCCTCACACTGGGCTCCAGTGTGTGCTGGGTGTGGAGCCTACTTGAAAAAAAAAAAATCTAATTAGAAGACATAGATGGCTGAATCGATTTAAAAAACAAAAACAAAAACCAAGACCCAATGATATGTTGCCTGCAAGAGACTCACCTTAGCTTTAAAGATATACATAGACTGAAAGTACAGGGATAGATAACAGTATTTCAAGAAAATAGTAATGAAAAAACCACCCCCAAACAGGAGTAGCCATGCTTGTATCATACAAAATAAACTTCAAACTAAAAATAGTAAAAAGAGACAAAGAAGGTCATTATATAATGATAAAGTGGTCAATCCCTTGAGAAGCCATAACAATTGTAAATATTCATGCACCCTACATCAGAGCACCTAAATATACAAAGCAAAAACTAAGAGAGCTAAAAGGAGAAATAAACAGCAATACAATACAGTTGGGGACTTTAAGACCCCATTCTTAACAATGGATAGATTATCCAGACACAGAATCAATAAGGAAACAGACTGGCAAAGCACTATAGATCAAATGGACTTAACAGACATATACAGAACATTCTATCCAACAACAGTAGAATACACACTTTTCAAGTGCATGTAGAACATTTCTTAGGATAGACTGTATGTTATGCCACAAAGTAGAAGACTAAAGTCATACTAAGTATCTTCTCTGACCACTGTGGTATGGCATTAGAAATCAACAACAGGAAGAAAACTGAAAAGTCCACAAATATATGGAAATTAAACAACATTCTTCTCAACAACCAATGAATCAAAAGAGAAATAAAAAAAGTATCTTGAGACAAATGAAAATGGAAACACAACATACTAAAACTTATGGGATGCAGCAAAAGCAGTTCTAAGAGGGAACGTCCTAATATTAAGTGCCTATAGTAATTATCAAAGATCTCAAATAAACAACACTAAGCCATAAAGAACTATAAAAAGAAGAACAAACTGAACCCAAAGTTAGCAGAAGGAAATAATAAAAATTATAGCAGAAATAAATTAGCGAACAGGAGAAAAATAGAAAAGATTAACAAAACAAAGAGTTGGTTCTTTGAGAAGAGGACCCAAATCAACAAAACTGTAAATGGAAAAAGAAACATTACAACCAATAACACAGAAATACAGAGGATCATTAGAACCTACTATGAACAACTATATGCCAAAAAACTGGACAACCTATTAGAAATGGAAAAATTCTTAGAAATATGCAATCTAGGGGTGCCTGGGAGGCTCAGTCGGTTAAGCATCTGCCTTCAGCTCAGGTCATGATCCCAGGGTCCTGGGATCGAGCCCCACATCGGGCTCCCTGCTCAGCGGCGTGCCTGCTTCTCCCTTGCCCTCTGTCTGCTGCTCCCCCTGCTTGTGCTCTCTCTCTCTACCAAATAAATAAATAAAATCTTAAAAAAAAAAAAAAAAAAAAAGAAATATGCAACCTACTAAGCATGAAGCAAGGAGAAATAGAAACTCCAAACAGACTGATTACTACTAAGGAGATTGAATTAAAATTTTTATTTATTTGTCAGAGAAACAGAAAAAGCACAATTGGGGGGGAGCAGCAGAGGGAGAAGCAGGCTCCCTGCTGAGCAGAGCTCAATGTAGGACTCGATCCCAGGACCCTGGGATCATGACCTGAGCTGAAGGCAGACACTTAACCAACTGAACCACCCAGGTATCCTAAGGAGATTGGGTTAGTAATCAAAAATCTCCCAGCAAAGAATAGCCCAGGACCAAATGGTTTCACTGATGAATTTTACCAAACATTTAAAGAATTAATGCCAATCCTTCTCAGACTCTTCCAAAAAACTGAAAGGGAAGGAACACTCCTAAATTTATTTCATAAGGCCAGCACTACCTTGATAGGAAAGTCAGGAAAGGACACCAGAAGAAAAAAGAAAACAAACAAACAAACAAAAAACAACCACAGGCCAATATCCCTAATGAATACAGACACAAAAATTCTCAAAATACTAGCAAACCAAATTCAGCAGCACATTAAAAATATCATTCACCATGATGAAGTGAGATTTATCCCTGGATCAAGGATGGTGCAGCATATGCAAACCAATCATTGTGATACATCACATTAAAAAATGAAAGAAAAAAATCATATGACCATAATCATAGACACAGAAAAACATTTGACAAAATTCAACATCCATTAATGATAAAAGCTCTTAACAAATTAGGTATAGAAGGAATGAACCTCAACATAATAAAGGCCATATACAAAAGAGACCCACAGCTAACATACTCAATGGTGAAAGGTTGAAAGATTTGCTCCAAGAACAGGAACAAGACAAGGGTGCCCACTCTTACCATTCCTGTTCAACAGGGTTCTGTGTTGAACCCTGTTCTGGGGTTGCTTTGAAATGAAGCAACCAGGCAAGAAAAAAGAAGTAAAAGGCATTCAGAATTGGAAAGGGAGAACTAAAATTGTCTCTCTCTGCAGATAACATGATTTTATATAGAGAAAATCCTAAAGATGCCACCAAAAAACTGTTAGATCTAATCAACAAATTCAGTAAAGTTGCAGGTTACAAAATAACACTTTTTAAAAGTAGCATTTCTATATACTAACAACAAATAACTCCAAAAACGAAATAAAGAAAACCACCCCATTTACAATAGTATCAAAAACAATAAATACTTAGGAATAAATTTAACCAAGGATGTAAAAGATCTCTACTCTGAAACCTACAAGGCATTGATGAAAGAAACTGAAGAAGAGACAAATAAATGGAAAGGTATCCTGTGCTCATGGGTTGGAGAAATTAATATTTTTTTAAATGTCTACACTACCAAAAGCTATCTGCAGATTCAATGAAATCCACATCAAGATTCCAATAGCATTTTTTACAGAAGTAGAAAAAACAATTCTAAAATTTTTTTTTTTTTTTTTTTTTTTTTAAGATTTTTTTTATTTATTTGACAGAGAAAGACACAGCGAGAGAGGAAACACAAACGGGGAGTGGGAGAGGGAGAAGCAGACTCCCTGCCGAGCAGGGAGCCCGATGCGGGACTCGATCCCGGGACTCCAGGATCATGACCTGAGCCGAAGGCAGTCGCTTAACCAACTGAGCCACCCAGGCGCCCCAATTCTAAAATTTATAGGGAACCACAAAAGACCCCAAATAGCCAAAGTGATCCTAAGAAAGGACAAAGCAGGAGGCATCACACTTCCTAATTTCAAGCTATACTATAATGCTAATCAAAAATAGTATGATACCAGCATAAAAACAGACACATAGACCAATAGAACAGAACTGAGAGCCCACAAGTAAATCCCAACATATGCAGCCAACTAAAATTTGACTAGGGAGCCAAGAATACTCAATGGAAAAGATGGTCTCTTCATTAAATTGTGCTGTGAAAACTGGATATCCATGTATAAAACAATGACACTAGACCTCTATCTTACACCACTCAGAAATTAACCCCAAATGGATGAAAGACCTTAATGTAAGATATGAAACCATAACAATCCTAGAAAAAAACATAGGAAAAAACTCCTTGACATGGGTCTTGGCAATAATTTTTTGGATATGACACCTAAAACATAAGCAATAAACTAAAAAATAAACAAGGGGGACTACATCAAACTAAAAAGCTTCTGAAGAGCAAAAACAAGTAAACAAAATCAACAAAATAAAAAGACAACTTGCAGAATCAAAATGCAAATCACAGATGTATCTGGATAAGGGGTCAATACCCAAAATATACAGGGAACTCATAAACTCAATATTAAAAAATAATAATATAATTTAAAAATGGGCAAAGGACTGGAGTAGACATTTGTCCAATGAAGACATACAAGTGGCCAACAGGTACATTAAAAGATGCTCAACATCCCTAATCAGGGAAACGCATTTTAAAACCACAATGAGGTACCCCTCTTGCCTGTTAGAATGACTGCCATCAAAAAGACAAGAGATAACAAATGCTGGTGTATACGTGAAGAAAAGGGAAACTGTGCACTCGTGGGGTTGGTAAATGATGGCAGGATTGTAAAATGATGCAGCCACCGTGGAAAACAACATAGAGGATCCTCAAAAAATTAAAAGTAGAACTACTGTATGATCCCACAATCCCACTTCTGAATATATATCAGAAGGAAACAAAAGCACGACATCGAAGAGATATCTGTACCCACATGTTCATAAGAGCATTATTTATAATAGCCAAGACATAGAAATAATCTAAGTGTCCACTGATGGATAAATGGATAAAGCAGTTGTGGTGTAGTGTGCGTATACATATACACAAAGGAATATTATTTATCCATAAAAAATGTGGAAATCCTGCCATTTGGATAGACCTCGAGGGCATCATGCTAAGTTAAATAAGTCAGAGAAAGATAAAACTGTATGATCTCATTTATATGTGGAATCTAATAACAAACAAAAAACCCAAAGTCATAGAAAAAGAAACCAGATTTGTGGTTACCGCAGGTGGGTACAGGGCGGGAGGGGAGATGAATGAAGGATGTGTAAAGATACAACTTCCAGTTACAAGTAAGTACAAGGAATGTCATGTACAACATGAAGACTGTAGTTTACAATGCTGTATGATATACATGAAAGTGTTTAGAGAGGAAATCCTAAGAGTACTCATCATGAAGAAAAGAATTTTCTTTTACTTTGTATCTATATAAAATGATGGATGTTAATTAAACTTACGTGGTAAGCGTTTCACGATATACATAAGTGAAATCATTAACTTAGTGCTGTATATCAATTATATAATTCAATAAAACTATAAAAAATGAAGATATACATATGGCAAAATAACACATGAAGAGATGCTCAACATTATTAGTCATTAGGGAAACGTATGAGGAGGAATACAAAGGAGCATGAGAAAGCTGTTTGGGGTGAGGAATATGCTATCTTGACTGTGGTGATGGTTTGACAGGCATATCAATATGCTAAAACATACCAAACTGCACACTTTAAATATGTGCAGTTTGTTATATATCATTTGTATTTCAAAAGAAGCTGTTTTAAAGAAAGAAAGAAGTTGGG